TTCCATTTTTTTGCTATCTGTGTACCCTGTTGCTATCAATGCATCTTGTATGCATAACAATCCTCTAACACTCCCTCATCTATTCAACAAATATTGAAGGATGAACTATGTGTTGATCCCTGTGTTAGATACTATAAATATAACAGTGAGGAAAAGAGACACAATCCTTGCTTTTATGGGACTTGCAGTCTTGTAGAGGGAAGAGATATTAAACAAATAAACCCACAGTGACTTAATCTTATTGGTGATTGTGTAAACATCCTAAGGAAAAAAATAGACTTATGTGAAACACATTCTGGCAAATACAATATAGAGTTGTCCCTCCCTCATTCTTGAAACCATAAGCTGATGTATGTCCTGTAGGCCTAAGAGGTCTACTATCGCTCACCTGAATGGGGTTCTTTATTGGAGCATCAGACTCAAAAGAGTCTGTTAATTTGAGATATTTGAAACCTCTGAGATTTCATAAGGACAGCACTTACTTGCACTCTCGATATCAGTCAAAGCTCCTCAACGTACACAAACAATAATAAAATTATAGCGGACCCCTTTCTACCCCACACTCAGCTTTTTACATAGATGAACTCATTTATAGTTATAACGTAGCTACTATTCTTATCCTCATTTCACAGACAAGGAATCAGGCACCAAGTGATTAAGTGACTTGTTCAAGCAGCTACTTTAGCTATTTAGCAGCAGAATTAGGTCCGTGAATTGTTCTCAGTTGTTCATCTTTTGTAGATTAATGACCCTGGTGGCTCTGGAATATAAAGGGAAAGGGCAGAAGCTCCCTTTTGTATTTTATTATAAACTCAAATTTCAAACAAGTTCACATTACCCAAAGGACAGCTAAAGGTCTTACCATTCTGTATTTACCACAAGGATGAAGGCTCTTGCTACAAATATTACTTTTCTACCTGTCATTTCTAGACTTGACACTGAAATATAAACTCTGAAATATAATTCTCTTCCTCTTACCTTCCTGTGTGAAGCATTTAGAGAGTACACAAGGCTAACACATTTCCCACCCACTGCACTGCCATTCTGAAGACATTCATTGACCCCATCAAGCCCTCAGAGGTCCTAGAAGCAAGGAAAGTGTGAAGTGAAGCAATGCTTCAATCAGTGTGACAATTTTCAAAGAAAAAGACCTTCTTACATGTTATTTTTTCCCAAAAGGCCATACCACTAGGAGAGAGAAAAGCAATAGTACAGAAGGCAGTATATCTGGCAAACTAGGGTTTTAGTTGGTACTTAAAAAAAAAATAAGCCCACTACCTATGAGAAAAATTGGAGATGTGTGTCTATATGACTGGTTCTCAACCTGGGATGATTTTGCCCTTAAGGAGATGCTTGGCAATGTCTAGAGACATTTTTGAGTATCATAACTTGAAAGTGATATAGGCATCTAGTAGGTAGAGGCCAGGAATACTGCAAGACAGCTTATAAAGCTCACAACAGTTTCTACTTACCCCACAACAGAGAATTATCTGGCTCAAAATGTCAGTAATGATGAGGTTGAGAAATCATTGACTATAATTAAATAGTTGTTTCTTCTTCCAGATGCTATTCCTACACTCCTTGGTGACATCACCCCAATCCCAAGCAATTCATAGATGTTGCAATCCCTCCAGAATTGCATCACTGTCCTCCTCAGCTGGCAATAGCCTGGAAAAAGGCCCTCCTCAGGTAGCAGGCCTTAATATCTGCTATAACTCCTTGATCCTTTGGTTGAATCAAAGAGGTAGTGTTTGGAGAGAGAAACACTACTTAATATTGGAATGAAGATCATCAATAAAAGGAGGATGTCTTGGAGCATTATCCACAATAAGCAAAATCTTGAAAGGTGTGTTAATTTAGTTATTCGCCAAACAGTACAGTATTTCTCCATTTCACTGGCATAGTAATTTAGGCGGGCATCGTGGGAGAGGAGCTGGGTAACCCATGACTTCCATGGCTCCTGTAGCACACAGGCAGTGTGTGCTTACTGATGATGTACTCGAAGGCCCTGGGGTTCTCACTGTGCCAAATCTCAAACGGTTTCAGTTTGTAGCCTGCAGCATTGCCCCCAAGCAAGACCATTATCCTGTCCTTAAAAGCCTTCAAACCTGGAATTGACTTGGCCTCTGTTATGGATGAAAGCCCTTTTAGGCATCCATTTGAAGAATAGGGCGTTTCATCCATGCTGAATATATGTTCTGGCTAGTCATTTTCTCCATATAATTAGCTTATCTAGAGTTTCCAAAATTTCTTCAGCTGCCTTCACATTGGCACTTTCAGGTGTGACACTAACTTTCACATCATATAATGAATAATGATCCTTAAATTGTTTAAACCACCCAGAGCTGGCAGTAAATTCAGTTGGGTCCAGCCTTTTCTTTCAAACTTGTAAACAATCTCTTTGCTTTGGCCATAATTCTCATGGCGCAGAGAGGGATACACTTTTGCATCTGGTCTTCAATCCAGGTCATTATAAGTTTCTCCACGACATGGGCCTGTCTTGAATTATTGTTAGTCTCATTGCATTCAATGAACAGCTTTTGTCACTCTGTCCTTGTCTTTCAAGATCATAGATATGGTGAAAAGGAACATGCACGGCTGGTGATCAAGAACCATCACTGATTTTCCAACTTTGTAGTTCTTAATAATTATTAATTTTGTTTCCAGGTCAATTACTCGATGTGGCCTCTTACTGGCAACATTAGCAGTGAATCTTGTACTTAGGGGCCATGATGAACAGAACAACATGGGATTAAATCAAACACAAGAGAAAATGACGTAATTAAGAGATGGGGCAAACACAAGATGTATGAGGCTGCTGCAGGAGTAACATAGCATCCTGCTTCACAGTGAACATTTTTTATAAGTAGAAATAGGACACTCTAAAATAACCATTACAAGTATAGTATAGTAAATACGTAAACCAGTAAGTCATTTATTATCATTATCAAGTGTTATGTACTGGACATATTTGTCCGTGCTATGCCTTTACATGACTGGCAGTGGTCTGTCTACACCAGCATCACCACAAACACGCGAGTAATGTGTTGTGCTACGAAGTAACCATGCCTACAACATCACTAAGCGACAGGAAATTTTCACTTCCATTATAATTTATGGGACCATCATCATATATGTGGTCTACCATTGATAAAAGTGTTCTTATGTGGTACAAGACTGTATTGGAAAATCGATCAAAGTAATCCACCATATTCACAGGCTAAAAAAGACCAACGATACAATCTTATCAATGCAGGAAAAAGCATTTGACAAAGCCCAAGAGTCGTTAATGATAAACCAACTATATTCATTTAAATGGGCCTGCAGATGCTTGGCACAGGTATAACTTCTTTCCCCTACTATGCTGGTGACAGATACCACTAATAAAACTCAATACTATGTAGCTCTGTGCCTAGATGTGGCCTTGGAATCTATCTCAGCATAGCACTCACTCTAAGCAGCATTTCCCAACTGATCAGAATTAATTGTAGAAAAAAACCTATTGTAACCTTTGGGTCTGAAAGGTGATCTTGCAGAAGCCATTCATTCCCCTGCCAAATTGTGAAGTGAATATATCATTACCCTGCCTATGTGGAGAGCAGTGTTTCAGGGTTCTGGAGTTTGGTAGGAAGGGCAGACTGCAGGTATAAGGCTTCAACTGGGTCACCCTCCTGCAGAGGACTGGCTCTCAACAGGAGTATTTTCCCTAGTGCTCAATAGACACGTCAGCACTCTCCCTACCTGCTGTCTTGGGCAGAGAGGAAAGGAGAGACAGTGACGAAGGGCTGCCACAGATTCCAGGTGTCCCTTAATGCAGTCCAATGCGGCCACTGCGGGACCTCTGCTTGCCCGCAGATGTCCTTTTGAGAGTTCAATTAAAAGGGACATTTGCTGACGTCCGTAGGTGGTGTGCATGGTGCTGGCAGTTTCAACATGTTGGCTTCCAGCATGGATGTTTGTAAGATTTGGGAGATTTTTTTGTGTGTGTTTAAATGCAAACATTAATGTTGGTAGGATCTGGGCTATTTGTGTTTATTTAAAGCCTCAGAACTAAGAGGATTACTTTAACAACCTAGGTAATATTTTGCAAAGGTTTTCCTGCAATGGTCATAGGTGTTTTAGCATTAAAATCTGAGATTCAGAACCAAGAACAAAGAATAACCACAAATCTCGTAGCAAAGTTTGGGAAGTGTCGCCGGGAAGAGGAATTTATTTTCTTTGTATTGTGTTCTGAGAAATCTTAGGGGTAAGGGAAGCCTAGCTCTGTTTGGATCCTGGATTTCAGTGTCCTCATCTGTAAAATAAGGCCAAATGATACCAGAGGATTTGGAGCCGGGGAAGGCCTTTTAACTAGAACTCAAAATGCAGGGGCCATAAAAAAATTTGGTATGGTCAAGTATGTTTTTTAGAATAAGGAAATCAAACTGTGAAGGAAAAAAAAACCCTGGAAACGATCTCTACATGTTTTATATCCCAAAGAGCTCATCCCTTTAATATATAAAGAGCTCCTAGAAATTGAGAAGGAAATGGCCAAAAGGTTCATAAATGGGCTGTTTATAGATAATCAGTATACATATGAAAAGAAGCTTAATTCCACTCAGAATAAGAAGTTAGACCAAGTGAAATTACACTGAAATAACATTTCTCACCCACCAGATTGGCAAAAGCCCAAAAGCTGAACAACATACTGTTGGCAAGGTGGTAGAGAAGCGGGCACTCTCATACATCGCTGGTGGGAGTGCAAAATGGCACGACCCCTGCAGAGGGCAATTTGGCAATCGCTATCAGAAATTTTAGAGCATTTACCCTTTGACCCAGCAATCTCACTTCTGGGAATTTATCCTACAGATATACTTCATATAGATAAAACAATAAATATATATTAATATGCAGAATTAATAGGAAAAGAGAAAAAGCAATCCAACTCTCCATCAACAGGGAACTGATGAAATAAACCATGGTGTATACACACTGTGGAATATTATACAGCTTTAAAACAAAGAATGAGGGTGCTCACTAGGTACCGATAGGCAAAGATCTCTGGCACGGCTTAGTGAAAAAAGCCAGGCGCAGATACTGTATATAGTGAGCTACCTTCTGTGTAAGAAAGATGAAGAGTTGGGGGAGAAAATACACTTGTTTTAATTTTCAAAAAGAAATATTTGTAGTATCCAAAAGAAACTATTAGAAATAGGAGCATGGATCACAGAACTGGAAATCAAATGAATGGAGCAATGGCAGGAGTGATACTTTATGACGTGTCTTTGGAAAATAATATTTTTACTTTTAACCACGTGAATTTGTTACCTTTTAAAAAATAAATATTTAGCCTGGCCGGCATGGCATGGCCCAGTGGTTGAGCATTGACCTAGGATCCAGGAGACAGTGGTTTGATTCCCGGTCAGGGCACATGCCCAGGTTGTGGGCTCGATCCCCAGTTGGGGGGTGCGCAGGAGGCAGCCGATCAGCGACTCTCTCATCATTGATGTTTCTTTCTCTCTCCTTCTCCCTTCCTCTCTCTGAATTCAATAAAGATATTTTAAAAATAAATAAAAAAAAATAAATAAACATTTAGGAAAAAAGAATCAAATGAGTTAATGAACATAAAATACTTAAGTGTTCTGCATCCTTCTGGGTATAAATGTTTCTGGTTGATATGATTTTAAAAGGTACTCTTGTGGTTTTTGAACTGGGCTCTGTAGAGGTCTAGGGCTCTTTCCCCTACTGTGGCCTTCAAATCACTAGCATCAGAATTTTCTGTGTATGTATTAAAATGAAGATTCCTGTGCCCCACTCAATACTTGCATGCATAATCAGAACCTCTGGGACCAAGGCCAAGGAATAGATTTCAAAAATCTCTGTAGGTGACTCTTATAAATCTTGAAGTTTGAGCACCACTACGATCTGCCTCAAATGGAGGCAGCAAGCATATAGGATCCCATGCTGGCCGCGACTTCAATACCATAGATAAGGATGCCAAGCTCAAAATATATATTTCTCTAGCCTTGAGCTCCCAACTTGCATATCCAATGGCCTATTGGCATCATCACTTACTGTGTAATAGGGATCTCCAATCCTAGTATACACGGTGTGATTATGATCTCTTCCTCTGTGTTATCTACAACATCTTTTCACTATAATGAGCAAATAAATCTGGAATTTAACAGAAGAATCACTCCTGGCTTTAGTGGGTCATGGAAACGAGTTTAACTCTGCTTTATCCTGGCCTCTCAGGCTTTGGAGCAGAGGGGCCAGTGCAGTCCACTTAAATCAGACCAGCATCTCCTTTTGTCTTTGTAAACTCATCCCTCTGCAAGCTCCTATAAAATAAAACCACCAGATTCCCAGAAGATAAAAAATCCATTCTCTCCCTCCTGTTCACATAAGTGCATCCCCACATAGTCACAGGCTTCTGCAGATTTTAATAAGGTCCCCTGTGTGGATCTCTTCAAATATGGGCAAAATACTCAGAGTGAGAAAATGTCACATCTAATCAAGGGTGCTATAAATGCAGCTCTGTGGCAGGCAGGCGGCTCACAAGTGGCTCGAACCAAATCACAATCTTTGCCTGTTTGTAACCGAAATTGAAGAATCTCATTTTGNAATTCAATAAAGATATTTTAAAAATAAATAAAAAAAAATAAATAAACATTTAGGAAAAAAGAATCAAATGAGTTAATGAACATAAAATACTTAAGTGTTCTGCATCCTTCTGGGTATAAATGTTTCTGGTTGATATGATTTTAAAAGGTACTCTTGTGGTTTTTGAACTGGGCTCTGTAGAGGTCTAGGGCTCTTTCCCCTACTGTGGCCTTCAAATCACTAGCATCAGAATTTTCTGTGTATGTATTAAAATGAAGATTCCTGTGCCCCACTCAATACTTGCATGCATAATCAGAACCTCTGGGACCAAGGCCAAGGAATAGATTTCAAAAATCTCTGTAGGTGACTCTTATAAATCTTGAAGTTTGAGCACCACTACGATCTGCCTCAAATGGAGGCAGCAAGCATATAGGATCCCATGCTGGCCGCGACTTCAATACCATAGATAAGGATGCCAAGCTCAAAATATATATTTCTCTAGCCTTGAGCTCCCAACTTGCATATCCAATGGCCTATTGGCATCATCACTTACTGTGTAATAGGGATCTCCAATCCTAGTATACACGGTGTGATTATGATCT